CTATTTCCCATTTATTAATTTCAATCACAATTACAGTACATGTACAAGGGAATAACATAAGGATCAAACTAAGACATCAAGTTTGACCTGCATACGACACAAAGCACAAATATACCCAAATACCCTACAAAACCCAAAACAGAAGGCACCATACAGCCTCAGCAAGTTCTCATCAGAACTTACTTAAAGATATTAAAACCGATGCCTTTCATGGTGATAGAAGTAAAAACACAAAGTAACCATTGAAGCGGGGTCTTCAGGAATCAACAGAGTAATCTATTCTCCATCAAAACCACTTCTTTATGACAAAAGTAAAACACAAAGATTAAATTCTTGCCCTCTAATGTGCAGTTAAAGTAGTAAGTTAGTGGATACACTTTCAGAACATGGAAGAATCTAAAAAATCCAAGACAAGATTGAAAACCACTATATTGTACCCAGAACATTATCACTTAAGTGATTCACAATGAATTGGCCTATGGTTGATTGACAATTGGGTGATTCTACATAAAAGGAGGAGTTTGCACAGGAAGGTATGGAAAATCCTTATCCAAAAGTAGTGGTCCTAATATAAGGGTTTACACAAATTCAGTATCTCAAAAAATTTCACGGAATTTTTTCTCTTTCTTTTTCACAAAAGAGAAGGAAAAAAAAAAAAAAAAAAAAAAAAGCAAATACCCACATGAGGTTCATAAATTAGTTAAGTTAATTCAATTTTTCAAAGAAACGCGAATAAAACACCAGAAAAAGAAAAGTAACATACAGTGTCCCAAATCTGAAGCTTGATAGGACGGCCATCGATGGTAACCATACGAGCACCAAACTCAACACCAATGGTGAGATCATGAACTGGCTGGAACCTCTTGTCAGTGAACTGTAATAGCAGACATGATTTCCCTACTCCTGCAATCACAGCATAGAAAACCCCAAAATCAAGTTAATACCTAAGAAAGTTGAGGAAGAACTAGGGTTTAATTAGTAAAGTTAAAAAAAAGTACCAGTATCTCCGATGATTTGTACTTGAAGAGATAATCGTAAGACATGTCTGATACGAAACGGTAGTTTTCGTACAAAAATAGGTCGCTGTCTGTGCGTTTAGTCTTGAGAGTTGAGAATTGAAAGAGAGAAGAAGGAATGAATACAACGAAGAAGAAAGTACAAATGTAAAATAATAGATGAATTTCAGATTAAGACGGCACCGTATTAAGACCGACACGGACACGATTGCTTCTGTTTACTTGTAGGCTGGGACTTGTGTTGTGGACGTTAAAACTTAAATTTTTCATTATTTATAATTTATCCATTTAAATAAAGAAATTAGTGTGAGTTTTCTTTAAGAAAATATGTAACTGCTGAGCCTATTTTAAATGGGTTTAGGTTTTGTTAGGTGGGAGTTAAATACATTACCCACCAATTGGACAACTTTAATTATTTATTTTAAAAAAAAAAGATAAATAAAATAAGAAAATTAGTTGTATTATATGGGGTTTTGCAAATCAGTAATATTGATAATAACTTAAATTTCTAATGGTAACTAGTTATAAATATTATATGATAACGAATTATAATATTGATGTAACAGGTTGAGATCAATAGAATCAGGTACCCGGGACCCGGTCTTTATAATTTAAAATAAATAAAGAAATAAAAGCCAAAACCCTTGAACTAAAACACTGCATTCTTTCTCCATCGCTAAAACTCACCACCTTACGCCCACATCGCCCTGCGGCAGCAGATAGTGCCACTGTATTCTCTATCGCCGCTTCTTTTGTTAATTTTTTTCTTTTTTTTTAATATACTGATTACATGTTCCCTTCTGTGGTCTTTTAAGTGTAATTGCTTGTTTCAATTCAATAAACAGAATGCCAGAGGAAGAGCACAAGATTAGTGGAATTAGTTCGCCTATCACTGGGGATAGTCCAAAATCAAGTGGTAGGAGTGCAAATAGATGGGAAAAGAAAAAGGAAAAACGATTGTTAAAGAAAACCGTGGAGGCTGAGGAAAGCCAAGATGTTAGTAGAGAGCGGCTGATGGAAGAGAATTCAAAACCTAATGATGCCGTTTTAGAAAGTGGATGGACTAAAGGGAACAAAAAATTGTTGAAGGAGGCTGCTAATGTGGAGAAAAACGAAATTACGGGAATGAGCGCTCTGGAGGAGAGGAATTTAAAATCAAATGATGAAAGGGTGAAAAAACAGAAAAATAGAAGAAATAAAGGATTGTTGAAGGAAACTAATAAATCTGAGGATGAATTAGAGGGAGATGGAGAGAGTATTCCTGAGGAGTTTAATCCAAAATCTACTGATGGAGGTTCAGATAATGGGGCGAATGAGACAGAGAATGCGTTGTTAGGGGGAGCTAATGAACGTGAGGAAGAGCAAGAGAATCGTAAAAGTAAAAGGAAGCAGCGACTATTAGAGGAAGCTGCTAAGGCTGAACAACGCGGAGTTTGCTACTTGAGTCGAATTCCTCCGCACATGGATCATGTAAAGCTTCGTCAGATTCTCTCTCAATATGGGGAGATACTGCGGATTTATCTTGTACCTGAAGGTGATTGTTTCTTTGTGACTGAACACACAATACAGGATACCGACAATGAAATAATTATTTTGTTTCTCTTTTTATTGTTTTGATTAGTCAAAATTATTTAATGTGCCAAATCTGTTAGCTTAAGCTGAGAGAAACTATTTATTTATTTAATTTTTTCTTTTCCATTAGGAAGAGAGTGAAACTATGTTTTAGTGAAATTTAATTAACTGACAATGATCTGTTGATTTTATATTACAGGTCCTGCAGCCCAAGTACCTCGTAAGCGAGTAAATCGTAAGCGAGATGGTGGATTTCAAGAACAAGTTTTTTCAGAAGGGTATGTATGTTTGAATGAATATGCTCTAATCAATATGGCAGATATCTGCAACTAGTATTAAAAGTTGATTGTAGAGTGCTCATTTATGAATTACATAAGTTTTTTTGCCAACTCCAGAAAATGTGATGTCTCTTGTTGAATTGTGTCTTCCATTATTTTTGGCTCTTTAAGGTGCATTACATCCTTTTTTGCTGGCATACCGTCATATGATTGTCCTTTTTATGTAGGTGGGTTGAGTTCACCAAGAAAAGTGTTGCAAAGAGGGTTGCTAATATGTTAAATGGTGAACAAATTGGTATGGATACTTCACCAGGAATAGCACTTGCAGTTTTATTTTTATCATTAAAATTGGCCAACAGGTTTTATTAATCCCTGATAGTGCCCTGATTATAGACTTTTAATTCAGAAATGAGTCAGATATTTGTCGTTAAATGTGATAAACCAGTAACGTTTGGTTTTTTTCTAACTTTTAGTGCCATTTTTTCTATCTCATTTTACCTTTCTTGGCTCAGTTTTTGCTCTATCCTCTCACTTTTAGAGAATCATTTGGTTTGAGTTCGCTTATATCTTGCCTGGTGCTCTTTCATCTTTAATTGCAGTGGTTTCATTATGCTACATCTTTCTTACTCAATGCATTTATTTCTTATTCTTGTTTAGGTGGAAGGAAAAGGTCTTCGTTTTATTATGATCTTTGGAATATCAAGTACCTAAGAAAATTCAAATGGGATGATCTTACTGAAGAAATTGGTACAGTACTTGTTGAAATTTCCTTTGTCTTTTAGTTTTTTAATGCTTGTTGTTGCTGCAGTTCATTACAATTCTAAGTTGAGATACTAAAATTGCAGCTTACAAGAGTGCTGTTCGAGAGCAGAAACTAGCTCTAGAAATTTCTGCTGCAAAGAGGGAGCGGGATTTCTATCTGTCTAAAGTTGATAAGTCCCGTGCTCTGAGCTCTATAGAAGAACGATTAAAGAAGGTAAACAATGTGTACACCTCAATAATATGGGTTGCTTGTTTGCACAATCAGTGTTGATTTGTTTCTTGTTTCATAACATCTTATGAAATTTTCTGTATTTGATATATTTGTCCGTCCTTGAGTATATTGTTAGCATTGCTAAGTTTTATGGGGGATAGTGTGGATGACTTTAAACGACTTTTAATATTAGTGGATAAAGCAGGTCAAAAATCTTAATTTGTACAATTCACTTCCCAGTTATATATATTCTTGAGACAGAGATGTAGTTTAGATCCTAGATTTCACTTTTCTGTTCATTTAGATTGCGTTTTTTAGTGTATCATTTATTTTAGAAAACTCTCCATATTTATTTCTTCTTTTATCCTCACAGAAGCAAAAAGTGCAAAAAGAATCTGGAACCCATTATGAGCTCCCTGTTAGCCAGCAGCCAACAAAAGTGTTTCGTCAATTCCCACAGAAGCGACCAGTCGCAGATAATATAGCGCAAAGCAAACCTCGACTCTCAAAAGATATCCTAGCTGGGGTGAGTGTCATTTTGTTTCTCAGCAACAACTTAGCATGTGTATTAAAATGATCTGTTCCCTGAAACTTGCTTGTGATTGTAGGTATTTGGTGGTTCCTAATGATTGGATTTTCCAGTAATTTATGGTCAAGAAGAGATTTTAAAGTGAAATACAGAATGCCGGAATATTTATACACGAGATGAGGTATTGTTAACTGGTTTGTTTTTACAAGTCCGGTTTGTGAAGAATTGTAACATATCAGGAGCACATAGTATTTTTATTACAATTCTTCGATATCCCACAGCAATGTAATGGGCGCCTTGTTAGGAACATATTTTACCTTTTCGTAATGTGTAGCATTTTAGTAAATTTTCTATTAGAATTGTTTTTTGTATTAAATTCTGGGTGCAAACTGCAAAGTGCAAACCCAAATTTTATGGTGAATTGGTAATTGAGGCTCTGCAAGAATTAGCCCCTATAAACATGCTAAATCTTAGTCGACAAGACTCCAAAGATTTTGCATTTTACTTATGTTTCAAATGGTCTGACCAAACTAATATTAGAAGTCGTTTAAAGTCATTTTACTTCCCGGAAATTAAGTGAATTGTGATATGCACGGTTCAATATTCTTTTGGCCATAGAAAAAACACCATTCACTACACCCATAAAGCAATCTTTGGGCACTAAAATGAGATGAATGGAGGACAGTGACATTGATTCAGTGCAAAAGACAGGTGAGATAAGATCTATACATTGAATGTCATCCATAAAGTTTGATCACATTTTTTTTTTTGAGGATTATATATCCATATTAGTGTGTAGAAGGCCTATGTAAATTCCAGAAAGGGATTAACTACAGACTTTCAATTTTGGTTCCATTCAACTGCAACATCCACTTCTCTGAGCAACTGCTCCATCTCTAGCGCCTGATGGACCTTGTGGGCGTCCATACCCAACCTTTATTCCAGATGACTACAATCATTATTTAAAAAAAGGTTATACGTAAGGTAAATTTCCGATTTAGTATCAACAAAAATAAGACATAAAGAGTATCTTGTGGGCGCCGAACAAGATTGAAACAATCCATACTATGATTTGGCAGAAATCCAAATAAAAACTAAAAAGACATCAGTGAATAACAAAGTGCTTCAACGTTACCTCATTGGATACATCAAACACGCCTTCCTGAATATTTTGAAGGATCTTGGCAGCAGTTTTTATGAAGGCCTGTGAGAATAGTTACGGTACTCATTTAGCAATTAAGGATCAGCTGCCATGTCAATCGTGTTCCATAAATTGACGATAAAACTTCGCAGTTTTTGAGCCACACACAACACAATTGAAAATTAAAGACTGCTTAAAATTTGGTTCATTTAATCACCTCTTCAACATTCTGAGCTGTTCTTGCAGATGCTTCCAAAAATAAAAGCCCGTTTTCCTTTGCAAACTGTTCTCCTTCCTCCTTGCTAACAGCCCTCCGATGTGCAAGATCACACTTGTTCCCAATGAGCATAATTGTCATATTGGGATTTGCATGCTGCCTGGCATCCTCTAGCCAGCTTGCCAAATGATTAAATGTCTCTCTCCTGGAAACACAACAACTTTGGTTTTCAGTTTAAATCCAATATTCTAAAAGGAAAGGAACTGGTAGAAGATCTAGCAAATATATGCCACATAAGAGTAATGAAATTTATTTCCAATTTGCCCTATCAAAACTTATACTAGTTTGTGTAAAGAGAAGTTGCAGAGAGGAGAGGGGGAAGGGACGATTCCAATCTTGCTATCGCTTTCTTTCTCTCACATACACACGTATATGCAGGTTCATACTCACCTAGTTATATCATAAACCAGAAGTGCTCCAGCTGCTCCTCTGTAATAAGATCTCGTGATGGATCTGAAAGATTCTTGCCCAGCCTGAAATAGAACCAAGGATCGCAGTTTACGAATAAGTGTAATGCATAAGGGTGCTTTGGCTAAGGACTAAAATGTTCAAGAATAGCAATTACGGCATAATGAAGAAAAATAAAATACATAAAGGATCTTACTGTATAAACATGATTTTCTATCATCTATTTCTTCCATTTATTAATTTCAATCACAATTACAGTACACATACAAGGGAATAACATAAGGATCAAACTAAGACATCAAATTTAATCTGCATAAGACAAAGCACAGATATACCCAAATTACCCTACAAAACCCACAAAACAGAAGGCACCATACAGCCTCAGCAAGTTCTCATCAGAACTTACTTAAAGATATTAAAACCGATGGCGTTTCATGGTGATAGAAGTAAAAACACAAAGTAACCATTGAAGCGGGGTCTTACAGGAATCAACAGAGTAATCTATTCTCCATCAAAATCAGCTTCTTTATGACAAAAGTTAAAACACAAAGATGTAAAATTCTTGCCCTCTAATGTGCAGTTAAAGTAGTAAGTTAGTGGATACACTTTCAGAACATGGAAGAATCTAAAAAATCCAATGACAAGATTGAAAACACAACATATTTGTACCCAGAACATTATCCCACTTAAGTTGATTCACAATGAATTGGCCTATGGTTGATTGACAATTGGGTGATTCTACATAAAAGGAGGAGTTTGCACAGGAAGGTATGGAAAATCCTTATCCAAAAGTAGTGGTCCTAATATAAGGGTTTACACAAATTCAGTATGCTAAAAACCCCTCAAAAATTTTCACGGCTAATTTTTTCTCTTCTTTTTCGCAAAAGAAGAAGAAGAAGAAAAAAAAAAGGCATAACTACCCACATGAGGTTCATAAATTAGTTAAGTTAATTCAATTTTTCAAAGAAACGCGAATAAAACACCAGAAAAAGAAAAGTAACATACAGTGTCCCAAATCTGAAGCTTGATAGGACGGCCATCGATGGTAACCATACGAGCACCAAACTCAACACCAATGGTGAGATCATGAACTGGCTGGAACCTCTTGTCAGTGAACTGTAATAGCAGACATGATTTCCCTACTCCTGCAATCACAGCATAGAAAACCCCAAAATCAAAGATAATACCTAAGAAAGTTGAGGAAGAACTAGGGTTTAATTAGTAAAGTTAAAAAAAAAGTTACCAGTATCTCCGATGATTATGTACTTGAAGAGATAATCGTAAGACATGTCTGATACGAAACGGTAGTTTTCGTACAAAAATAGGTCGCTGTCTATGCGTTTAGTCTTGAGAAGTTGAGAATTGAAAGAGAGAAGAAGGAATGAATACACGAAGAAGAAAGTACAAATGTAAAATAATAGATGAATTTCTAGATTAAGACGGCACCGTATTAATTGACCGACACGGACACGATTGCTTCTGTTTACTTGTAGGCTGAGACTTGTGTTGTGGACGTAGAGATGAGGTTAAAACTTAATTTCTTTCATTATTTATAATTTCATCCATTTTAAATAAAGAAATTATGTTGAGTTTTCTTTAAGAAAATATGTAACTGCTGAGCCTATTTTAAATGGGCTTAGGTTTTTGTTAGGTGGGAGTTAAATACATTACCCACCAATTGGACCACTTTAATTATTTAATTTTTTTTTTAAAAAGATAACTTAAAATAAGAAAATTAGTTTGTATTATATGGGGTTTTGCCAAATCAGTAATATTGATAATTAACTTAAATTTCTAATGGTAACTAGTTATAAAATTATTATATGATAACGAATTATAATATTGATGTATACAGGTTGAAATCAGTAGAAAATATTACTTCATTAAGCTTCAATTATTACAATTTCTTTTAATATTTTTAATATTTTGTTTTTCATAACCAGACTATCTATGCAACTTGGTACACCTCAATTAATCGTCAGAGTTTATTAAACATCCTACGTATCCAAAAGGCTAGATAAATTATAATATTATTAAAAGTTAAAATATTGTTGTAGATGATTCTAAGATTTGAACCCAAAAACTAAAAAAAGGAAGCTAATATCCTTAGGAAACCAACCCCTTAAGGTCTGCTTGAGAGTTTTTTTTCACTGGTTTTGGAGATTTTTTAATTAGACTGGTTTTGAGGTGTTTAAAAACCATTATTTGTTAGATTTTTTATGGACTGGTTTTGACTAATTTAAAAACCCATCAAAACCAATGTAGTGTATTTTTTAGAGGTTTATAAAACACCCTAAATCGAAGTGTTTTGTATTTTGGCTGGTTTAAAAATTTATCCCAAAAAACCCCATTTCCACTATTATTTATATACAATAATCTCTTTGCTGGTTTAAAAATTTCTTCAAACCCCATTCAATCTTCAACTTTTAGTTGACCATTACAATACTTTTGAATCTTTTATCTTAAGCTTTCTAATCCTTTATTAAAGATATGAAGGTTTTTCTTTCTTTCTTCTTCATTTTCCCCTTCAACTTTTTGTTCTTTTAATCTAGTAAACTCCTTTGCAGGCTGTATACAATTTAATTGCATTTCTTTACCAGTTGTTTTACAAAATTAGGTGATTTTTCCTTTATTTGATTCTTTCTATTTGCATTTAGGTGATTGATTGAATCATTATCAGTTTGTTAAACAAAAATTGTTTTTAATAGCTTTGCTTCACTGATTGAAGAAAAGAACAAAAAATTGTTTTTTAGAAATGTTGTTGCGGCTGTTATATTGATAATTTGCGAAGTCCAACATTTTGGCAACATATTTATTCTCTTAAAATGACAGATTTCGAATGATTATGTGATGAATTAAATAATATACAATGAAAGAACTTACAAATAAATTAAACTTGAAAGGAACTTAGATATTAAGTATTGGTAATTGAAAAAAAAAAACTTCCAAATACTGGTTAAAGTTCAGGTATTTTTATAAGCATATATATAAATTTATTAGTTTAAAAAACTATCAGAACCGTTGGAAAATAAATTCCCAAACATAAGTTGAATGTTTTAAAAACCGTTACGATGGTTTACCCTCAAGCAAACCCTTAGGATTAATTATTACAATTTTTGTTCGATGCTTTTGGATTTGCCTACAGGCTACAACCGCAAGACAATTCAATTCTTTCTTTTCCTTTAAAATCATTATATACTTGGTTTCATGCAGCAAGCCGTAGATGCACAAGAAGATTACAAGAATAGTATATTTCAACGTGCCTTTCAAGTTTTCCTTTCCCATCATCTTATCTTTCAGAGTGACTTAAACAACCTTCACAACAAATTTTGACATCATAAAAATCAAGGGGTTTAAATTTTGTTTTTCTTATAAAAAGAGAAAAGAAAAAGGAAATTCTTAAAGTTCATTCAAGCAATTCTCATATCCCATGGTAACTCAAGTTGAAACGCATGATACAACATCAAGTTCTTAATTAAACAGAAATTACTTCTTTGCTAATTTGTAAGTGCAGCTGGGGCTGGAAAGCTAATCCAGAAACATGTAAATAAAGGTCAATCATCTTTTAATCTGGAAATTGTTGCCTACAATAGTTTTGGCTCTGTGCTCTTCTGGGGCGATGATTTTCACTCTTCCATTGCCTCTCCTGCTTCAATGATTTCTACCTTTTCCTTCAATGGGGTAATCTTCGTCAAGAGGACCTCTGTAATGAAACAAAATAAGGCAAAATCAAGCTAAGACCATAGAAAAAGTCGAAATATTACATAAACTCTTCTTCGAAAGCCATTACTAACCAGTCTTCTTGGGGAAAGAATAGCCTTTTGAACTGACGTAAGTGCGAGGATTTGGCAAAAGGTGATTCCTCAAGTATTCCTTGTGCCCCTACGCAAACATTCATTACAGGGAAGAAATTGCATCACAATTGAGATTTAGATGCGTTCTCAAGATATTCACTAGACTAGAAAGTGACAACTAACCTTTGTTATTACACAAACATCGACATTGCTTCCACTTCCCAAGTCATTGAATATACCAGAACATATTGCCTCCACTACAAGGCTTATCCCCTCATCTTTCTGCAAAGAGAAAACTGGTAACTCAGAAAGAACACAGACACACGAATGATTTATAAGAAATCACTAGCGACGTAAATTATCTAGACATAAGTCCAAGGATCTAGTTGTTTGATCAACCATAGATCAGGTCACTTGGACCACTCAACTCCACATCTAAGTGCATGTTAGAAACCTCTTCAGAGAACCGTTAAGTACTAATGATGTTCAGGGGTAATTTAGGTGCAAAGTGAATTAATTCTTAAATTCTTCACACCAACATCAACTTACACCATGCAAACACAAATGAACACATTCCAAACATAATAGGTAAACTTACAGTTAGGCCTTCTTTGTATTTTGATTCAAACATAGCCATAGCAGCAAGAGAACCAGAACCCATTGTAGCAAATGGTAATGTGTCAGTTGATCCGTGTGGGTATATCTGCAAAACCAGACAAACCAATTATTGAATAATCAAGATATTATATACACAGGTAAAGAAAAAAATAAATCACTATCATTTATGAAAGAAGAATAAAACTAACCGTATGCAAATGAGGTCCAGTGCAATCAACTCCGCCAAGCACTAGAGCAGCTTGGACATAGCCTTGGTAGCTGGATAAAAAATCTAACAATCAGAATTATGCACTCTTATGACTATACAGAGATATGTTGCCAGTAACACAAATTGCAATTAATTAACTTAACTTGAAAAGATGCTTCTTGAGAAGTGTCAGAGCTGTAACAACCCTTGACTCTCGACCAGTATGATAACGATGTAATTGTAGCTGTGAGCTGACCATGTCTGTTGAGATAACAACGTTTTACAACAAATCAGATATAGTAACATAGAACTGAAAAATAGAGACACACACAGTGCCATTTTCATAAACTATTTTATATTTTACAAATCCAAAAACAGACACCAAAAACACACACAAAAAGGCACTCAGCACTATATTTCAAAAACACTAAACTCATTCCCCAAATATACCAGTTACAGCCTCTGTGTCAGCAGCAGTTCCTGCTCCACAGCAATATATGTTTGGTGCCATGTAATGAATTTTCTCACAGTTCTTATCACAAACTATGGGTCCTTCAGTTGCTCTGGTATCTGCCCCAAGAATTACGCCATCCTAAGAAAAACAATTGACAAGAGAAAAATTATGTTCCAAAGATCATTCAGGAAAGGTATTGACAGAAAAAAAGTAGCTATTTCAAACACCATTACAGATATGCTGTGCATGTCTGTATTGCTATACCCTTTTTAAGTTTCAAAAAAGCAAGCAAAGATATTGACTGTTGAGAACAACATAGATCATGCAACTCCACAATGCTCAAATTTCAAAGCAAATTCCACAAACAGAGATTTCACAGTGGGCAACTCACTTCTCAAATCTTCCAAAATGTACGAGCAGACATACACACATAACAAAAAATATATATCCTACTTTCACATTCTAATGTCTCATTATAATTTATTTCCAGTGGCAGCCTATAATAATTCCTTTACGGTATACATATACTGTATTATTCTCAAATCAATTATTTCTTATAAAATTTTAGTAGAAGGTAGGGAACGAAGCATTAAAGTGTCTCTGTGTCTACATGTGTGCAAACACAAAGAGCCAGGAGAATATAAAGGTTAGTTTGATTTGTGATTCAAAAATAGTTTTCAAAAAGTATGATGGAATCCGAAAATCTGAGTCATATCTAAATATTCAAAAACGCATTTACTATAATATTAAAAAACTTTTTTCAAAGTTAAAAACTATGGAAAATAGAGAACACAACTCTTTTCAGTGTTTTTTTTTTTTCACTAAATTTTATGTTCGTATCCCAAACTATTTTTGCAAACGTTTCAACCAAGCACAAATTCTCAAAAAATTTCCAAAAATATATAACTGCACTAAATCTCAAAGTGAAACAGGCTCTAAGAAGGCATATTAGGTTTAAGAAAATAGTTACCTAGACTAATAAGGCTGCAAATACCATTTCTTATAAGACCTTTAAAAAATGATTATGGCTCATCAAAATTGAGTAAACAATGAGAATAGACTAAGATACTTAATATTACAACAGACCATTAAAGCATGACTAGTATAAAATAAATAAGTGTTTATACCTGGAAAATCAACCCAACAATAGTTGTCCCTGTCTTCCGGTAAGATGGAGGGTTAACACCCTTCTTTGAAAGCATATCATTTCGTCTGCAGAGGTCAAAACTAAATCCACCCTCGAGAGGAACATCTACAGTCGAATTTGACATTTTAAACTTACTTCAACCTGCATAAATAAGTAACATACTTTGTCACCTCAGCCAATAACCAAAATACAAACCACAGGATCCTCAAGCAAATATAAATAACCAAAGAGGGAAGAACATAATAGCTAAAAGAACCAGGAGATTCAATAA